ACAGTCGCCATAGAAATCTGCAAAACAACAATTTGGACGTATTGAATTCTTTCGGCGAATCTCGAAGATCACTGAGCAGGAGCCAGTGGAAGAAAATTTGCACAATAGATTGATCGTTGGAATATAACAGAACAAATGGTCCTTGGAGAACGACGACTGTTTTCTGCAGAGCATTATAATTCACTCGGATTCACGACAGGTTACTTCTAGTCCCATAATCATAGGTCTCCCCTTTACCTCTCACACAAGCTACTCTAAATTCCAAAATGGTCTTGGTTGCAAGCACATGGATCGCTGCTCAACCAACAAGCATAATTCCTGCAATGGTTCAGTGATTCTACCTCCCTCCTGAAGAGCAGTTCAACGCATGCAGTACCTGCGATCAGACGGATCACTTGTTTTGAGGGGCACAAAAGGTCACGGCGACTCGGAAATCGCGATCAAAAACGAGGTTACATAATTGGTTACATAATTCCACGATAAGGTGAGCCGAACGGTCGAAATGATGGTACAATTCACTTTGTGCCCCGGACCACTTGTTACCTTAAGCCGTGGATGGAGTGACGATTAAGCAATCATCAGTGTCCCAGTGACAACACTGATCGCGCATGAGCCATGACCACACACGTGCATATTATCAAAATGAGGAACCGAGATGTCATGGCAATTGGGGCGTGTGTGACCGAGGTACGTCTCACAAAGGTCTCTGTGCTTCAGCAAGGGGTAGGGAAATCCGTCCGGAACGCTGGACATCCATACCTCGCTCGGAGGCTTGAACAGTAAATGGGCATGCAGCACTGATGTGATCAACTACGATCAGTTGTGCCTTAAGTGTAGCGCGCACGAATCAGTGCGTCACTCCTCATGCTTATCGAGCCTAGTTCAGCTTAGCTGTCTCGCTCCAAACGCGCGGTTTCATCGCCCTATCGAGCTCGACAAAAGGCATGACTGAGATCTGCCTCATTTCAACGCAGAAAGAGTGTGGGAAGACCGGGTTGGAAAAAACGTGTGATCAATTCATCAATGTGGTGCGCTGAGCAGAAGCGGATCCAACCACTGCGTTTCTTTCTCAATTGAAATTGACAGTTTCTCAAGTCAACCAGATAGTTCAAGGTTTCATAAACCAAAGTGATGGTTTCTCAAACCTATCTTAAAATGGTATAGTTATTACCAGACATCTTCATTGTCAAGTTAGATACAACAACCTTGTCTTTCTCCACCGGTATCGCGATGTAGAGGATTTGTAATGCGTGACTGTCAAAACACTGATCTTAATCACATTGAGTCACAGTTGAGCATGGGACATTCATCAATCAAGTTCACAACTGAACTAGGGTCTGTTCATCTGACTAAATGCTTTTAGTGCTCTATCCGAAGGAAAATTCCATGCAGTGGGTAACATTTTCATTACTTCGTCCCACTGTGTCGAAAATAGAGCTTCGTACGATGTCTTCCGCAAATAGCAATATTCGGAAGTTTCGGAAGATACTTCAAGCGACGCACTGGAACTAGTGCGGAGAATGTTTCCAGAGAATGGCTATCCTGGAAAACTTTATTGCTCGAACTGGAGAGGAAAAGAAGAAAGCTCCGATCATCTAACTTCCATTTAAAATAGATGCCGCAGGCGACAGTCCATGAAATCCACCATGAATGCCACTAAGCTAAGAAACGTTTTCTACGTCTTCAAATATCCGGCGCCGAAATAAAGATAAACTGCCTATATTGATCTCATCTGTGATTGCCTGCTAGTCCATTTGTTCACTTGTGATTCGACTAACGAACGTTGAACGACAGGCAGCTTTCTTAACGCAGCAAAAAACATGGTTCAAGGTGGCTCACACATTTCATCTTTGCTCCCTTACCGGTGACTGTTTCCACGAGTCGTAGAGTTGATTTCTTACCATATTCGCCTGATTTATCAGTGGTAAAAAAGGGATCACTGCGGTCCGTTCCTGTTTGATTTTTGACAGTCCCACTCTGATCCCGACCAGCTTTATTCGTCCGCTGATGTCTCTGATCACGATGTACATTCCAACAGTGGCCCGCAAAATTTAGACGTCACCAGTAATCCAGTTTCTCAACCTCATCAACCCGAATCAGTGAATCAGATGTTTTGATAAGAGGCAATCAGTTCGCTTGCGCACGCGCTCTCTATCTAGACTAATCAGTTCGATCAAATGGGCGATCGATTTTCCCTGGACCACAGTGCAGTGTACCAGTTCACATGTGACGTACAGAATCGGCTTAGGCTGCCCTGACAGCGTTCCACTCTCCCGTTATGCATTTTCACCATGCACACATGCACCCATCATTCGTCTTTGTGATTTGTGCAATGCGTGCGTAGTCTGTTACGCGTCCCCGTGTCATGTGATTGTTCGATTTCATGGTATCGCATACGTCAAATAGTTCAGGCTTCGTGTTCCGTGCTGTCGTCTTTCCACACTTATGTGTCGCATGATGCCGAGTAGTATTCTTAGTTCAGTGATGTGTTCAGCAATTTTAGGGTGATTTGTTGCGTAAGACTTGGGCTGTAAGATGGGTCAATAATTTATCCCGGAATTGTGCGCGGTACGCGTTTTTGTCTTTGTTCTGCGTAGTTTCGTTCGCGCCACACATGAGGATTGGTCGAACTTCACCATCATGCACCAGACCACCACTACGAATAATAATCGGATATGGTGACAATACCAACTAAATCTTCTGAATGCGTGTGAGCGCTTCCCGCCAATATCTGTCCGTAACAATTGTCCCAGTTGGAGTTTCAGTTTTTTTAACCCATGACCATGCTGCACTTGAGTGCACTGGTTTTGGTTACTTTTGTTTGAACTTTGAATCAATCCATTTCGGTAACAAACGTTTACGTTTAAAGATTTCAAAATGTGCTTGCTGTACGATGACGCTCCAACTCTTTCTCTTCGGAAAAATGCTTTTCCTTGAACCTGAAAACACCCGTTCTCAGTGTAGAGTAGAATAAAAGGTTTCAAAGTAATGAAACCATGAGAACGTTGATGTCGTCTCGTGTACTACATTCACAGATGTAGTCTACACGAAACCGTCGACTAGATCTGTGAATTAACTACACGACAGAACCTCAATCTTCTCTCTTTGTTTTTCAAACCTCTTAGTCCGAAAAGATACAACCTGTCCAGATCTTCATTTGGTAGCATCTAGTGAGTTCTCACACACTGCATTCAGAGGGATTCCAATCCGTTGATTGGAAGTCAACCAGTCTGTTTTTCGATGACACTGTATACTTTGAAAACCCGGCATTCCCGGCAGGATTTTCACTTTGTTGAAGTTCACCTTTGTCTAAGTATACTGTGGACGACAGGGGGTATTGTTTCTGTTAATTCTCGAGGGCATGATTTCCGCAGCACAGAAATGCTCACTGTTGTGCGGAAACAATAATGTTCACGTGAAACGTCCAAATAGTAAACTGAATAACCAAAATTGAGAGAGTTCATGCATAATTTCCTGTTGCCAAGTGGATAATCATTTTACTGCACCAGTTCAGTGTTCAATTGTACATTTTGTGTGACGAACAGCAGACGGAGCAGATCTCATGGTTACGAAGACCGGATGTACAGTTTTGGTAACCGGCAACCTAAGCCCCGGGACTTGGATTAGCGGATCACATAAGGCCCTACTAGATTAGGCGGGGTATATAGTGCGGGAGTTAGCAAAGCCACCTACCACCAAAGTAGGGTGGCGGTGGCGGGGCTCGAATCACGAATGACAGGGTCCCAAAGCACCACGGTGACAGCAACTAAACCACTGCACCACCATCAGTTTATGAAGTCCATCTACGGGACAGCGGTTAGTCATCATCATCGTCGTACAGCGAAATAGGGAAGCGAACTTCACTGATCGCTGCCAAGCTCGCAACGCATATGCATTGGGGTTTGATGGACGGGTACTGCTATAGTGTTCAGCCACTAAGCATGAGAACAATTAGGGTTCTCGTCCAAAGCCTTCAGTTCTGACATTGACCTAGCCACAAGACAGCGGATGAAACGAAGTGGAGGCCCACTTATTTGAAACAATTACTCCTCCACCATTTTTTTAGCGACTGAAACGCAAAGTCTAGTCGAACCCCCAACCTGGAGGATCAGGAGACGACTTAGTCCAACGTTCAATTTTCCAGGCATGATCAGCTCTTCGGTTTGACAAAAGCCATCCTGTGTAGCTCGTTGGATCAGAGTGGTGCACAACCCATTGCACCACGTCAAGGTGCAGTCTCCTCGTGATTTTCATCATCCGACCCTATTTCGCTACTAACCGTCGCACACAGAACCTGTTATTCAAGATTTCTATAAAGCTACCTAATCGAATAGCTTGGAAATAATCTTCCACAAGAAGCAAGTAGTTCGCACTAATCTGTCTCTGCACTCTGCTGCCAAACACAGTCTTTATGCCAATGAAATCAATCTATAATATGATTTTCTTTGACGCGATACTGCCAGGTTACCCAAATCAATGCAGACCCTTTTCTTAAAGATGGTTGACCGGCACTTTTGATTGGCTGAAGTTTAACTCCCGAAGCAGCGCAGTGGTGTGGGCAGCCCGTGATTCATTGAATGCTGGTATTTGGCCTAAGTGAATCTTTTTTTTACGTCCCGAATACCCAGTCGTCCTGTTGAATGAGTAGAGCGCTGTTGGTAGAACTTCTTGGATCGAGAGATTGCGGCTCGTTTGGACACTACCGGGGCCTGATGGGTACTAACTGCTCATTCAGTTTATCCATTTTCTCTTTGTTATAATAAAATCTAGTCGTGCAAATTGAGGCTATGAAATCGCTTTTTTTTGGGGGGCAAACTCGTTAACATCAAATTCGCAAAACATGTAGATAGGGAAGGAGTTTATAATTTCCCGAATTTGATCTATCTATGAGATCAAAAACGAGGACGTTGTTTTTTTCATAGACTTAATCGTTTTTAATATAAAAAGTTGAACATTCCTACCTGTGTTGAGTAGTAAACTGAAAACGGATACATTTAGCCATGACTACTGTTTTCTTGTCTATTTTCTACCTGGCCTCGGATTCTTTTTGTATTGACATTCACAGGAGTGGGAAATCTGGTCCGGATTCGGGCGCACATCATTACCCCCGCCATCGAACTACTTCTTCCGGATCGACTGCCAGCCAGGGAGGCACACCTGGTTACGGTCCCACTTTAGATGAACTGGAAAGTGGCAGTGGTGCTGGTTCTACACTCGGTACAGATGAGACGATTGTCGGCCCAACATCGACGGATCGTGGCTCACCGCATACCGGGTCTGATATGTCAGGTCAATCATCCGGAGGTAGTTGGAGCAGCGGTTTGATGGGTTGGATGGGAAGTACATTGAAGGCCTACTCATCCTATTTACCGCATCAGGTATCGGAGATTTTTGCACAGGATCGCGCGTTCGCCTACTGTCATTTGCCAACCAATCACGGAGGTCTGTTCTGGTCTGGTGCCGGTCGAGGCAGTCCTGTGGGTGCGGCTGCTGTAGGCGGCGATGGATCTGCTGGTGGAACACATGGTATTCAGCCCGGTGTACCACAGAATCTCGGGCTGCACAAAGTTGCTGCCGTAGTTTTGTAAGTGTGTCTATCCGTGCTTTATTTTTGCCCGATGATGTCTCAATTGCTTCAAGCGCATCGAATAATGGTATGAAATTCCTCTGGTATATTTTGCTCGTGCTGTATTTCTGCATTGTGATCATCTCGCTTATTTTTTTAGGAAAATTGTATAACTCCTGTCTTCTGTTCGCGTTCACGAAGAAGCACTCGCTTAGTCTGGATACCTACGAAAATTATTTTGTTTATTCATACCCTTATGTGATGATGAATAGCAGACGGGTTGTCAATGTTTTCGACCGAGTCCTAATCCCGCAGGTTTGTGCTTAAATGAGCCGGATCTGTGGTCTGCAATAAACTTGCCAAGATGGATTGTGCTATATCGTGTAAATAGAAAATGATCAGTTGCCCAGTAGCTGAGTGGGTAGCATGCTTGCGTTCTGCTCATGAAGTCCCTGGTTCGATTCCCAGTTGGGTCGGTGGATTCGCACTGCAGATGAGACCCAACCAGGTCGAAACAGCTGTCCAGTGCTTCCGAACTTTTCAGTTCACGCTTAATTTGCTCTATACACGACAAATTCCCATTTGAAACCTGCTGTTAACTAGTAAAAACCAGCAACCTAGATCCTGAGATCAGAAGTGACGAACCACATAAGGCCTCTCTAGGTTATGTGTGATATTGAGCCGGACACCAGCGTCACTGCCAACCACCAAAGTTGGATGGTGGTGTCCTGTTTCGAACCTCACATCGTAATGCCTCTATAACAAAAACGTAAACCACTTAGCTCTGGCACACATTACCCAAATTAGACACAAACCCCCAGTGGCAAGAAGTGAAAGTGAAAGTTTTTGTTCGCTTCAGCATGGCACGCCAGTACAAGTGAAACGCACTTGAATCACTGTACCAATGTTCAATCGAGCGCTTTGTGAATTGTGACGTGTTCTCACCAGTTATAGCCAAGATGTCTTGGATGGCTTTAATGGCTCATTTAAGATTAGCCTTGCAGTACCTGATTGGTAACTTTTTGAACGGTTCGAACAACACGCTCACACGTTGTGCATTGTCTGCTCGATATCTTTGAATCCCGTAGTGAGTGACAGTCGATCACTGTCCAAGTGTGATGGCTATCGGCGTTCGATGATAGAGGTTACAGGATGCTGCAATAGGTCAAACAAAACCAACCTAATCATTATCATCTCGTTTGGACTAATTTTTAAGGAAATTGGGTCAAGGTTGTTGGAATATGAATGTACAGTTGGTTTGGCAAGTTTAAACATTTATTGCATTAGCGACCCAGTGTAGATTGGTACTTTTCTGTCTCTTGAAATCTGCCTGAGCTTTTTTTTTAAACGATGTCACCTTGTCCATCTCTCTCGCCCAGATCAGTTCCATTTGACTCGGTAGATTCCGATCTTGGCCATCTTTACTTCTTTTTCCTGTTTTTTTTTCAGTTCGTTTTTGTTGAATAAAAACTGTGCACGTACTCTTTTGTTTCTCGCATCAAAATATTCCTATCCAATCTAATTCCCGTTCACGCGTTCTCTATACCCTCTCCACGATGTTCCCTGACACGATCAATGACAGTTATCAAAATCAGCCCCGTCTAATTGTGGCCGGCTTGGACGGATTTGTGCATACTTTTGCTATTGATCCCGTGAACGGCGGTGAAGCCACTCTGTTGCGCACACAACGGTAAGTTCCCCGTAACCTGATACACACACACCTGTTTGTACAAGTGAAAACTAGTTTGTTTCGCGAGCTGTCATGTAGTCCGAACAAACGCCCTTAGTACTGCTTTCCGATTGAGTCATTCGCACAAGATGATTCGACCTTGTAGCTCAGGGGTAAGGGTTTGAAGTCCCGACCCGACTGATCACGGTTCGAGTCCTGCCAGGGACACAAAAAGTACGCACTGCTGACGAGTCCCAAACCGGACAAAACAGTTGTCTAGTGCTCTTTGTCGGTCATCACAAACACTGAGCGATATGGCTGGGTGTCGTAAACGGTGGCGTTCTTGCATCTTCTCAATTTCTTTGCAACCTTAGTCCACTGAACTTCTCCATTTTCTTTTCGAATCCACTTTCAACTTTCCTTTCTTCTCCTATTCTTCATCCAAATGGGCAGCCAAAAGACAGCAACCTAAACCGGCGCACGNCGGATGAGCAATGCTGAGGTTAGGGGCAGAGTTTTGGGTAGATACGGTCGACCAATAGAGTGAGTGGTCGATCTCCATAGATTATGTTGGTTGGGA